TTGATTGATTGTATGTCCTCCTCTGAGAAGTGTCTGTTCAGGTCCTTGGCCCATTTATTGATTGGGTTATTTGTTATCTTATTGTCTAATTTTTTTAGTTCTTTGTATACTCTGGATATTAGGGCTCTATTTTATTCTCTTTTAATGCTGAATAATATTCCATTGTGTATACATACGACATTTTCTTCATCCATTCATCTACTGAAGGATATCTAGATTGGTTCCACAGTTTAGCTATTGTGAATTGTGCTGCTGTAAATATTGATGTGGTTTTGTCCCTGTAGTATGCTGTTTTTAAGTCCTTTGGGTATAGACCAAGGAGTGGGATAACTGGGTCAAATGGTGGTTCCATTCCCAGGTTTCCAAGGAATATTCATACTGCTTTCCACATTGGCTGCACCAATTTGCAGTCCTACCAGCAATGTCTGAGTGTATCTTTTTCCCCACATCCTCACCAACACTTATTGTTATTTGTATTCTTAATAGCTGTCATTCTGACTGGAGAGAAATGAAATCTTAGAGTAGTTTTGATTTGCATTTCTCTAATTGCTGGAGATGTTGAACATTTTTTCATATATTTGTTGATTGATTGTATATCATCTTCTGAGAAGTGTCTTTTCAGTCCTTGACCCATTTATTGATTGGGTTATTTGTTTTTTTGGTGCTTAGCTTTTTGAGTTCTTTATATATTCTGGAGATTAGTGTTCTATCTGATGTGTGTGTGGTAAAGATTTGCTCCCAAAGTGTAGGCTCTCTATTCACCTCACTGATTCTTTTGCTGAGAAGAAGCTTTTTAGTTTGAATTCATCCCATTTATTGATTCTTTATTTTAATTCTTGCACTATACGAATCAGGGCCTAATCCAACATAATTGAGATTTGGGCCTACTTTTTCTTCTATTAAGGACTCAGTGTCTCTGGTTTAATTTCTATGTCCTTGATCCACTTTGAGTTGAGTTTTGTGTATGGCGAGAGATAAGGGTTTAATTACATTCTGTTGCATACGGATTTCCAATTTTCTCAGCCCTATTTGTTGAAGAGGCTGTCTTTTCTCCAATGCATGTTTTTGGCACCTTTGTCTAATATAACTGTAATTATTTAATGTGGTTATTAATATGATTGTTTTTAAATCTACCATCTCACTGTTTGCCTGCCTTCTATTCTTTATTCACTTTTCTCTCCTTTTTACCTTGAATTATTTATGATTCCATTTTACCTCTTGATGACTTATTAGATATAATGCTTTGTTACTTGGTTCTTTTAGGGTTTATAGTATACACCTTTCATTTATCATAGTCCACTTCAAGTATAAGAACTTAAAATAATGTTCTTACATTCCCCCTACTAGCCTTTGTGCTCTTTTTGTTGTATATTTCATTCCATACATATTGAGCCCTATAATGCTTTATTTTTGCTTTCAACAGTTATTTTTTAAAGAGATACAAAAATAAGAAAAATATTATTTTAATTTATTCATGTGTTTATCATTTTAGTGCTTTCAATTTTTTGTATAGATCCAGATTTCCATCAGGTATTATTTTCCTTCTACCCAAGGCATATCCTTCCTATTTCTTGTAGTGCAACTCTCCTCCTAGTGATGAATTATTTCAGTTTTTGTATGTCTTTTTAAAAAAGAACAAAGTCATTTAAAAAGTCAATGAAATGTTTTTATTTCACCTATGCTTTACAAGGATATTTCATTATTATAGGATTTAGATTGGCAGATTTTTTTCTTTTAGTACTACAAAAAAGTTGCATTAAATCTTTCTTGCATCTCTTTGATGAAAAAAAAACTTATTTTTCCACTTCCATTTAATTTAATTATTGATGAACTAGGATTTATATCTGCCATTTTTTGCTATTTGTTTTCTATATCTTTTCTCTCCATTACTGCTTTCTTTGATGTTAACTAGACATTTTCTTTTTCCTTTCTTGGTTACTGGGGATTGAACCCCTAGGAGTGCTCTACCACTTAGCTATATCCACAGCCCTTTTTATTTTGTTTTGAGACATTAAATTGCCCAGAGTGGTCTTGAATTTGAGATCCTCCTGCCTCAGCCTCCCTAGTCTCTGGGATTATAGGCATGTATAACTAGGTATTTTCTTGTGTATCTGTGATGGGGATCCTCAAGAATACCTTCAAAACTCATAGGACTCGGAAGTCATTATACTCATGGTTTATTACAGAAACCAGATACAAAGCAAAATTAGTAAGGGTTTATGGGCATGTGGGGTAAAGTCTGGAAGAAACCAGATGCAAGCTTTCAAGAGTCCTTTTCCAGTAGAATTTCACAGAATGCACTTAATTCCTCTATCTACAACATGTGCGAAATATGGTCTTTCACATAGCTCACTTGAGCCTAAATATTCCAGAGGTTTTGTTCATGTGGGTGTCCAGTGCCTGCTTGATGGATTGTAGTTACCAAAACCATCAGAAGGAAAGCAGTCATTCCCCATAAATCACATTGTTTATGCACACCACCACAAATTGTTAGTGTGGTTCAAAGCTCCAAGTATGCAAAATAATCTTATCAGTTAGAATTTTCAAAGGCCATAATTCCTACTTCCTAGACAAGGGCCATTTGTAAGAACAGATAACTCTGGGAATGTGTAAGGTGTGAGCAAATCAGACCTGCTGAGTCAACTCTTTCCTGTAAGTCCACCCAAAATAGGCAAAGACTTGAAGAAGCAACTAATTCATCCTATCAAGGTATTTTATATGTGTGTGTATGTGTGTGTGTGTGTGTGTGTGTGTGTGTGTGTGTGAGAGAGAGAGAGAGAGAGAGAGAGAGAG